CACCTCCTCCTCCTCCCCCCGAGCCTGAGCCACCCAAATCATCTGCTCCTAGCTGGGCACCTTCTGAGTATATTGAGAAAGGTAATCCAATTACTGCATGCACTTAATCTATTCTATTTAATATAAGTCTAATGTATCCAACTACCCATTGCTATTACATTTAACATGTACTATATAATAATTATAGCATATTATTATTATTATCTTTGTTTAACTTCTGACCTTACAGTATATCCACATACATGTACGTGTAAAAGATTATAGTACTAACACTGTTGATTGATTCTTATTGTTTTTTTGTAGTTGAAGCATTGTACGACTATGTGAAGGACAAAGAAGATGAGTTGACATTTAGTGCTGGGTCTATCATTTACGTTGTGAAGAAGAATGATGATGGATGGTACGAGGGTGTGCTCGATGGCAATACTGGCTTGTTTCCTGGAAATTATGTAGATCTCCTTCAATAACTTGAGAATTATACGAAATAATTTTAAGTGTGTGTGAGTGAAATCATCATTATGATTGTTAGTAGTATTAGGAGACATTTTGTAGTCATGTTCTATGTTAAAAATTTTTTTTTTTAATACTAAAACGTTAATATCCTGCCTAAGCATAATCAGATAGAAACAGACTAAATGGTGGAATCACATGACATGTTTACACAAGGTCGAGGTGACCTCCCTGTTTAGAAATTAATTATTAAAAATAATCATATCAATTTTGAGCCGTATCGGCATAAATTAATTTTCAAATAGATAGATTCAAAATATAATCATAGCAATCAAATATAAAAATTACTGGGCAGCAAACTTTTTAAATTTTATTTTTCAGTATTCAGAAATTAAAGGTAAGCTAAAAAGAAAATAGTCAACATATTTTGTAGCTTTAATAATGCAAACGTTGTCACCATAAAGTATTGGAGGCTCTGTAATGACACTGTTACTAAGCAAGAGAGTAGTATTAAAAGAGCTCTTCAAGCTACCATCTTTCATTGACAATATATAGATGAACTCTCCATCAGAGTCCGAAGATACAACCAAGTTCTTATTGATATGGAGAGAAGGGCTTTGCTTGAAGAGAGTTTCAAAAGTGTACCCCTTCTCACTTAGCTGTTTACTTTTCCAGATTAACTCACCCTTTGTATTGACTGAAAAGACACGATTTCCACAGCTATTGTAATGGAATTAACATCATTTTACTACAATCAAGAGTATCATAGTATGCACACTTACTTGTAATAAGCAATACCAGATGCATCAACTGATGGTCCGCTGGGATATGCTCCTTCATCACAATAGCCATGATTGCTAAACTCCAATTTCCCAATCTTCATATTCAATCCAAATATCAAGTCAGGATTACCAGCGAACCCATAGCTCCCGTAAGCAAAGCTCCCATTGGCCGTGAAAGCAAATTTGACTTCGTACGACAAGCGAAGATTTTCTTGCCAAATTGATGAGCAGTTGACTGACCCTTGATCTTCAAGACAACCGACTCCT